TTCTTGGTTCTCTGCTCTCTACCCAACACTGCCTAGTACTAATCTTTTCACCTTTTCCAATTTGAAAGGTTAAAAATAACAACTCATTGTTCCCTTCATTTGTATTTCTTCAATGACTAGTGAAGTTGAACATCCTTTCATATATGTATTAGTCATAAGTATTTATTTTTTATGTGAATTCCCTGTTTATAATCTTATTAGAATGCTCATAGTTTTATTATTAACATATGAATTTGTTACAAATTAGGCATAATAATAATTATTAATGTTTACTTTTTCACTAGGTACCAGACATTCTTTTAAGCGTTGAAAAATATTGACATTTGATCAGGCATATACATTATAAACATTTCCCCTTCTTAGGAGGTCTTCCCTTTTAATTAATCATACTCTTTTCATACAACTGTGAGATATACATGCCCATGGTTCTCATTGATTTGGAAGTACTTTATGGCAATTCTCATTATCTAGAATTATTTTAAAATAGTAAATATTTTTAAATTGCAAAATAAAAAGGAGGTGTCTGACGGCATTTTCAGCAGCAGACTTCAACATCAGTATATTTCTCAACAAGATGAGAATGTGAGAGGTGAGAAGAAGGTACCAGGTAAGAAAGGGTGATGTAGTTTAGGAAAGGTTGGTGCTTGGGTGGTCACAGAGACCTCTCCCACGAAATGACTCCGGGTGTTTCTTTGTTTTTAAGAGATGGGGTCTTGCTGTGTTGCCCAGGAGGGAGTGCAGTGGCTATTCACGGGCACAGTCGTAGCACACTGCAGTCTTGAACTCACAGCCTCAAGTGATCCTCCTCCCTCAGTAACTATAATTACAGGCACATGCCAACGTGCCCGGCTGACTCTTTAACACTGTCACATCTCTTCCTTTTGCTTTCCCCCCTTCTGTCTGCTTCTTCCCTCGGAAGTTTCCACTCTCTGTCCTCACTACACCCTGCCCACTGAACCCAAACCTCAAATCTACACTCAAAACAAAGCTTATGTTTTCAAACAGAACTTCTTCCAGCTCTCAAATTTCCCTCATGGATTAGTGAAATCAGACTCTACAGTCCAAGCATCACTTTTAAAGGCTTGGCTCGTTTCTTCGTCCTCATTTAAAAATAATAATTTGTGAGAAATAAAATTCAAAACATAGGTGTAATGCAACCCCTACGACCTCACATTTTTAGGGTTATTTTTTTCTTGCCAACTGATCCTGCATTCATGCTAATTTCCCCTTTTTATTTCCTTAAAAGTACTTAGTTGTTCCATCAAAAGCCAAAAGGAAAATAAACTATGTTTCTCAGGCAGTATGAGGCAAAAATAACAAGGTCCTCCAGCACTTTGAGAACATTTTTTGATTGAGGGGAAAGAACCAATTTTAGTTGCCAGTTATTTCTTCAAGAAGACAAAAAAACCCAAACAGCTAAGTGTCTATGTATAGAGAAAGGCAAAATTTTTCATTTGTTTATTTTCAGAACCTGCCTTTAAGAAATTTTTATAAGAAACAAATAAGCATTAGATAATGGTGTAAGACCTGTTGTCTCAAAGTTAGGGAGAAAAAGTTTGCATGGTTATGAATCCATATATTAGCACCAAAATTACTTTGTCTCCAGATTACCATTTAAATTCCTAAGCATAGAATGATGTGATATTTTAAAGTATTATTTCTGAGTATTATTTAAGGATTATTCCATACGTACACATATATACATACTCCAACATAAATATACATGCATATAAGTGGAACATATACATAACATATATACTGTACACACACATCTACATGTGTGTGTATATATGGAAACTAAATAGTGCTTATCAAAACCAATCTCATATTTTGGAAAGAGAAATTGGTTTAAAGCACCAATCAGCAAATCAATTCTCCTCCCCTAGAGAGATCTGATGATTTTAAGGTCCTGAGAATAAAGGCTTCTGGCCTTTCCAGCAGGCACAATACCAAGGTAGTGTCTCAAAAGGCAAACAGACTTTTGTGGTAGATAACTGTTTTCTTGGCTTCTGGATAACTGTGGCCACATTCTTATGAAGAAAATTGTGGCCTATTTTGCCAGTTATTTTATTTTTCCAGAGTAGGAAAATTCCCACCCTAAGGCATAGGAATTAAAAGTTCCTAAGGGAAAGGTCTTTTCATTATTGCCCTTAGGAAGGTATCTCTGAAATTGTCACCTATAGTGGCAATCTAGCTGTGATCTCTATATTACTTTGTAGAATCTGGAACCTGTGTGTGTATGTCCGTCTGTCTGTCTCACAACAGCTTCAAGTGTATATACAAAAGCCCAGCATAATTTAGCTGTGGTTTACATTAGCCTGTCTTAATTGTCTCATCTTTGTCATTTCTCTCATCTTTAATATAGCATCACATTATTACTTATCCTCCTATTTAATCAGGCATTTACCAAGTCCCTATTCCATGTCTGGCACTGTGCCTGGTACTGTGGATGCAAAGATTCTTTATTTATTTCAACTCATACCATTCCATGAAGAATTTGGGATATGGAAACCTAAAGATTCCTGCCCTGGAAGGGCTTACAGTCTTATTTTCTTTGCCATTTCCAGAGAGTCAATTCTTAAAATTCATCTGCTATTTATAAAATGTCTAATCTTGTTATATAAATATTTCACCTTATTTGGAGCCAAGAACAAAGCACATAAGTCTTCTTGAATTGGTTTTCATAATAGAGCTCTCCTAGTGGGCATCATGTCACCAGATATGGATTCAGGCCAGGGCCACCTGTGTTACACTTGTCTAAATATTGGAGTTTGTAATTACACAGGAAGAACAGAGTTCATGTTTCTTCAAGCCAGTAGCTCTTTTTCCTCTGACATACCAAAAATGTACTGGTATGTGAGAAGGGACCAATGTAACAGAAAGAATACATGTGAACAATATAGTTGGAAATGTTGAAATTCTGATATAATTTACCATTATGATTTTAAAAATCAATAGACTTAGAAACTTTGGCTTCTGGCTTCAAAGACTTAAATGCTTGGAAAGGAATGGTTTATTCCATGAGCCATGGTTGGCCAAGCTGTGGCCCTTTTCTTAATGCGGTCTTTAATTTCATGCACACAGAGCTCTTTAGACAACCTTTGTTTGATTTATGTGAACATTGGCATGCACATGGTTTTAGATATGGAACACTGGAGTCAAATCCTGACCCTATGGTCTGAATCTGATTCTGTATCAATAAAACAGAAGACAAATGACTGTGGTCTTGATACCGAGGATGTTTGAGTACATTTTTTTTCACAAAAATTTTAACAAGCATTATTGTGTCTTAGGTTGGGTCATCCCAGAACGGACATTAAGACAAAAATGAGAAAACAAGTAGTTTATTTGAGAAATGGTCCTGAGAAACGCTACTACAGGAATAGAGAAGAGAGATGTGGAAAAGAAGGATGCAGTAGAGATTATTAGCAAATGGTTGCCATTGTAGGCAACGGGGGCTCCATGTGGCTGGGGAAATAAACAGAGAACGTACCGTAGAGTTATCCCACTTGACTGATGAGGTAGCTAGGCTACTTTACCATTCCCACCCATAATTGGCTAACGGTCATTCCCAGGGATACTAAGCCCTCAGGAGAAGAATCATAAGTGCTTGTAGTGTGACTCTGTTTGCACATACTGGAAAGGTGGGTGCCCCGGGAATACAGCTATAAATCATTTTTCTGTGCAAACTCTATTATACCGATTTAATTCCTTAGTAAGAATACTAATTCTTATTCATATAGAATACTAATTCTATAAGGAGTGGACAAATAACATCCTCCCTTTTGTTGTTGTTGTTTTCCGTTTTCACTTATGTCTTACTATTAATAGAATTAAGCAATTATATTTTCAACTATTCTAAGTTTTCTTCCGTGGCCCTTGTTTGTATCAAATCCAATTTTCTTACATCTGAGTGTTACTCTGCAGATTTAGGCATTGTCATTTTTATGTCTGTTTGATTGCTTCCACCAGGAATAACCACTGTAAATTAGATTAAGAAAAGCCAATATTTTGACCTATGTGTTGGCAGTCACTGAGATCGCTGGGAGCATTACCCTTCAACTAGTCCAAGATGACTCTATCGCTATAACCCAGATCCACCACTTACCTAGTTGTGTGAACATTAGGGAATTTATTTATTTATTATTGATCAATTGATTGAGACAGAGTCTCGCTCTGTCACCCAGGCTAAAATGCAGTGGCACGATCATAGCTCACTGTAACCTTGAACTCCTGGGCTCAAGCGATCCTCCTGCCTCAGCCTCCCAAGTGCTGGGATTATAGGCATGTGCCCAACCAACATTAGGGAATTTATAATTTAGCCTTCTTAAATCTCAATTTACTCATTTGCATAATTGTGCTCATAACAGAGACTTCTAACTTCTTGTTAGAAATCAATTAAAGTAAATCCTTTAGAAGAATTTCTGGCATAGAGTTAAGTGTTCAATGTGCTATTTATTATTATTACTTAAGATCGTTATAATGATATGTCAATTATTTTATATGCTACTGGTTGCTGAAAGTATACTCAGGAACCAGTAGTATATACTGGTTGTGTCAAAATGACAATTAGAATGTCACACTGTAGGGCTAATTATTCTTGCTCATAGGGTTGTTGCTGATAAGGCAATATGTGTGATGAGCCTGGTACCTAGTAGACAACAAGCACATGCTTTTTCCCTGTTCCTTTCCTTGAGAGGTATACCTTGAGTTGGGAGGATAGGATAAGTGATGTTATGATGAGTTTCTGGAAAGTTGGCCTTCCTAAGTACAGAACAGCTTCAGGTCTACTGATTGACCTGTCATATCGGTTGGATATAGTGAAGCTCCAATATGCTTTCCAAAATGTCTTAAGAAAGGTGTGATTTCCTCTTCTTATTTTGTGGCTCTCATTCTACAACCAGCACTTATGGATACTCTATTTGTTACTTATGATTATGAGCTTAGTAAATTGTTTCTGTAAGATTTCTGCCTTTGTTTTGTGTTTGTGTCTTTTTTAGATTTGATTGTGGGCGCATTTGGAAGAGGAAAAGTAGCTGTTTACAGGTATGTGGTTGGTGGTATGCAAATGTTCTTCCCATTGTTTCAAATGCATTTTCTTTTGTTGTTGTTAGTTTTGCCTTAAAGAGCATAGTCCAACTGTTTATTCTGGAAAATATTTAGATGCTCTTTTTAAAGCCTAGAGGTATTTGTTGCTCTCAATGTTTAGACCTTTTTCTCTCCCTTTGTATTTTTATTCTCATACTGCATGACCAAACTTCCAGACCCTATAAACATAACGTTAAATAAGATACGAAATTCAGCAGATATTACAAAATGACCCACTTTTTAAGTGTTACTGTATTTGATTTCTTCTCTTTGTTTTGGAAATGCATTGAAATGTTCACTTGTAAATAAGAGATGCAAGATGGAAAAATGTTACTATTTACTCTGGCTTCTGTTATCAAATGGGGCCCTAAATTAGGGAATAGAACATACCAGGAATTGGTAGCCTCCCAAAGCAAGTATTGAAAACAGTTCAAATATAACAGCTATGGATTCAAAGCCTGGCCATTCGTACACTCACTGATTTGTGATCTTGAGCAAGTTTCCATAACTTTCTGAGCTTCAGATTTTTCATCTGCAAAAGAGGATACCAATAGTTACTTTATAAGGTTACTTTTGTTAACATTCAGTGAGAATATTCACGTGAGGTATACAGAGTTGTAACTGGTACATGGTGCCCAAAACATTAGGTTCTTTTCTCTTCTTAAAAAAAAAACATTTTTTTAAGAATTCAAGACACTACGAGGTCAGGATTTGCAGACAAAAGGCCAAGAGCATACCTGGGTGTACCAGGCATTAGTGCTAACCTAGTCAGCTCCCAAAGAGATTCTAAGGTTAGCTTTCCTCAAATAGGCAAGATTTTCTTCTTCATCAAACTCAAAGGGGACTGATTTATACCACCCCCTCCCCACTTCAGGTTCTAAAGAATCAGACAGTTGAAACTCTCAAAGTGTCTGAAGTATGGTGCTTGGGTGTGTGGTGGTTAAGAAGGTGCACCACTCAGAGCTGCTGGAGCAAGACTGACTTAGGACCCAGCTGCCACACTCTGAATCCATCACCACCTTTCTACCAAGGACATATTTTCCATGGGCTGTGCGCAGCCAATTACTGGTCACAACAAGAACATAAATTGTAGGCCTATTTCTATAAGATATGGAACTCCTCTCAAGGGCAACTTTGGTTCAAAGTTTGAACCCCTTGCCCAGGCTAGAACTTTTGTACCCACCTTCCTTCCTGGCCTCTGTCCTTCTGAGGACCAGAACTTTCAGCCTCATCCACTCTCTCCCCTTTTTTCCTTATAGGCATTTGCCCTCAATAAATCTTTTGCATGTCTAATTTCATTTTATTATCTGCTTTTCCAAGGCCTGGAGCTAACACAATATCAAACACAAAATTATGCAGCATAAAGGAGCTTAGGAAAAATCCCAGTAGGCCCCACTGTTTCAATTGTTTAGAGCAGTGCCCTAAATGACATTCTGCCCCAAGACTCATCCCTCTGTTCTGTCAGGGGAAAACTTATTATCCAGCATGGTATCATTTCACACTATCATTTGGGGACTTTGACTCTCAGCTAACATATCTTGGAACCAAGGTTTAAAAATTACTTTTTCCCTTCCCCCATAATTGATTCTCTTTTTTTGTTATCCACACCTGGGTAGCTGGAATTGAGTTTACTCTGTATAAGCCTCCCTCCTCAAAGTTAGCTAATTATAATAGAATCATCTGGAGAGTTTGTTTAAAGTGCCAATGTCTGGTCCTTACCACAGAGACTCTGGTTCAGCTGGTCTGTGGTGGGTCTGGACATAGCATTTGTTTTAAAGCTCCTTGGGAGATTATACCATGCAATCAGGATTAAGAACCACTGTTCTGGGTGAAGTGCAGAATTATTCTGTAGGCTGACCTTCATGTGTTTGCCTCAATCTGCAAAGCTTGGCTAGAAAATTATCGCTAGAAATAAAAAATTATCAATGAGGCAACAAAAATTGTGACATTCAAGTACTTACAGACACAAGTGGCTGTTAAGGTGATTTATTTCTTTAGCTATGGATAGAGATATTGTAGCAGATCACAGAGCAGTATTTCACAGCAATATTGTCACAATACCGAGAGCCCACTCCGTAAAGCAAGCAGGCTTGTGAATGCAACTCTGCTTGGTGGCCCCCTAGCATGCTTTATTTGTACTCATGTGCTTCCAGGTGTGTTTCGAGGTAATTAGTTGAGTGTGCCCACCTGTTCATGCAGTGAGCAGAATTCTTGACACAAAGGCTGGGAATGTTGGCGATGGCCTCTGGAGGTGGAGTTCTCCCTGTGTTGAAGGGGCCTTCCGCCTGTCACTCCTGTGGTTCACACAAACCCTGTGCTATCTCCTCGCAGAGCAAGGCCAGTTGTGACTGTGGATGCAAAGCTTCTGCTGCATCCCATGATCATCAATCTTGAAAACAAAACTTGCCGGATTCCAGACTCTATGACACCTGCGGCCTGGTGAGTTCGTCCAGCACTTCTCAAACTTTACTGGAATTCACATCACTTGGGTACCTTGTGAAAAATGCAGACTTTGGGTTCAGTAAGTCTGGGGAGACTTTGCACTTCCAGAAAAAAAGCTCCACGAGGCTGCTGATGCTGCTGGTCTGTGGACCAAGTCTGAGTAGCAAGGAGTTAGCTTTTCAAAAGGATCTATGACATGATCTGCTCTTTGCCTACGGTTCTATCATACAAAGGGGACTTCTCCAATCTACAGGCTCTAGGTTAGATGAAGAGCATGAAAGCCATTTGGGAAAATTCCCAGTGAAACAAATCTTGAAGATCCCTTTTAGATTCTCAGCGTACTAAAATAAACATTAACCAAAGTAAAAATGTAACAAAATGCCTTGACTCTTGCATTTGCATATGCTTATAGATACTGCTTTTCAGTATCTGTAATATATAATGCCACCTCTTTAAACAGTCAAGCTTGGGTTAAATTACACAGTTTCCTGTGCTGACAACATATGTCAGTTCTGTAACTTATCATGTACAACTAGACAGAAGGGAAACATTATAAAAGTAGAGATTTTTGTGCCCTCAACTGTATTCTGTAGCCATCATTAAGAATAGTGGTAGAATTCTTCCTTTGCCTGGACCATAGAAGCTTTGCCTAGACTTTGAGAAGTCACATAAGCCATGTTCTTGTGAATCATGTCAGTCACCTGAAGGGAGTGCCAAATGGAACTTGATTGTAACACAGCTGAAGAAAATACCTCTTTGTTTCTCAATATGTAGGACCTCAAAGGTCAGAAATCATTATGTTGGATAATACCATCAGGGTATAGCCTCTGAAAATTCAACAAATCCTTGGGGTGTTTGAGATTTGCCCTTATTTTCCAGGAGATATGGTCTAACTCAGACAGCATGGTTCCTGAGAATGTTAGAATTGCACAACAAACCAGTCTTGACCCAAAGAAGTTACCTCCAGCCAATGTTAGCATGTTGTTGATGGCCTTTTGACAGGAGTTCATACTGAGTCAAAGCTTTTGAGGTGGTGGGTAGGTGAGGAATAAGGAGGACCCTGAACGATTCTTTGAAAAATATATCCTATTGCTGGGAACTGGGGGTAGGGGGAGTTTGGAGGCATGTCTTGTCCTTTTAACTGCTTTTGAAAGTAGTTGGGAAATGCCCCGGGCACATTTTTAAATAGTTTAAAACCATAAAATAGTATAATGAAAACCTGATCTGAGAAAGCATGTGACAGCCAGCATTTTTCCTTACCCTGGCATGATTAAATGACCAGTAAATGAACTGTGAGAGCTGCTACTTGATCATGAGTATTAAAACTCTAGTATTTTCTGCCAAATAGTCTCGTGTTCACACCTACACAACTGAATGAACTTCTAGGCTGCATTCTTTGACGCATATGTGGCACACTCTGGTATAGGATGTTTTTGTTTTGAACTAGATAAGTTTTTCTAAGGGTTTTTAGTTTGGATATTTTTACAAGATTGAAGTGGTTTTAACAGATTATGGGATCTGTTTGGTTTTATGGAAAGAATATTACTTTTTAACAAGAAAATGTCTTTCTTTTCACAAGCCATTCTCTTTTTGCATTAAATCATATTATTAAGATAAAATGCAATTTGTTATGTGGACAAATGTATAATATATCCCTTTACAATTGTTTTATTCTGTTGCATGTATTTTCTGAAAGATGTTTTATTTTCACATGCAAAAGTTTTGAATAGTGCCTCAGAGTATCAGAAAATAGAAAGTTAACAGCTGGTTCAGTCTAGAATATATCAAACATGTTTCTTTGATTCTTTTTTTAATTTTTTTTTATTCTAGGAATTTAGCTTAATTTTTCTGAAATGATTGAAAGGCCTCTGTTGATTTTCTTTGCTGTTATTTCTGTCTATATTTGATATAACCTTGTATTGTACATCTGAAGACTATTATGTAAACTCTAAGTGGCAAATAGTTCTTGACATCCATCAATGTGGGTTTCTGTGTCTTTCGAACAGCTGTGCAGTTTTATAAAGTATCTTCTTGGCATTTCTAAGTTAGAAAAAGAAAAAAAAAGCCAGTTCAATAAATATTAATTGGTCGCTAACCAATTAGAGAAAGAAAAACTATTTAGTGAAAATTTTCATTTTATAAATGTAAAAGTCAGTCACTATCCACTTGTCAAACCTGAAAAAAACTCTCTAGGTATGAGTGACTTTACATAAAATCTGATGTTTGCTATCATTGAAACAGGATTGAATTGGTGAGAATGAAAATGAATTGCTTTGTACTTTAAGTCATGTTTCACATTTAGCTCATTTCCCCCCTCATCATACTTGGCCATTAGCAGTCACATAACAGAATCATTATTCCAACTATGCTTCTACTAAGACTAGTGGTAGAGGGCACTGAGTGTATTGCCTTGCCTTCTGACCACATCAGAAGCACTGACCACAAATAGTTTTATTTAGAATTTATGCCATGAGGGACTTTGATTGATTTCATGTTTTTTGTTCCAATCACATCTATTTAGACTAATGAGCCAAAGTGACTATGACCATAAATTCTAGTTTGAAATTTTAAATCTAATTTAGTAAGCATTGAAAGCATTCCCTGATGACCGAAGTGTACTTTATAATCAGGTGTATACCTGCAGATGGACCTAATTCTGTGATATATATATAATATATATGACGCATATACAATGTTTTTCTAAGTTCAGAATGAATATGTCAATCCACTACTATAACATTTTGAGATTTTCTTTATAGATCAAAACAGAGTGCTTGAAAAGTTATGACTTGAAAAATTCTTCTCTGCTAAAGACATCTATAAATGGGCAGATTTAGGTCAGAGTGCTATTCAGTAATTCAGGAAGCTGTACCAGTTAGTACATTACACTTGTATGAAAAAAGTTAAAGTCATCCAGTTAATGATATCAAAGTAGCTTAAACTTTCCCTAAGAAAGAATATAGATTTATACTGACATGTAATTCATAAATCAAGAGTAATCCATCAGCTATAACATCATTAATCAATCAAATATATTCTCACAAAGAGGAACTGATGTTTACTTTTATAGTTTTGATTTATTCCTTTTTCAAAAATGTTACTGCTTTTGAACTGTTAAAAATACTCTATCTAAAATGATTTTGATTGATATGTGTTGATAAGTTCATTACAAATAGGAATTTTTTTATCTTATAAAAGCCAATGAGCTTTGTCTACTCCATGTAATGACAGATAGATTAGAAAGGTCAATGGATGATTTTAACACACAGCCAAGTATTTCCAAAAGAGTTGGACACAGAAAAATTCTAATTTTGAAAGCCAGACTTACTACAAAATTTAAAGATGTGATTAACTATTGGTTTTTCTTGAATAATTCTAATTGAAGGAGAAATGGGTTGGAATTTGTGATTTCTCTCAGGAAGTAGAATAAACACTTGTAATAGCATAGAAATTTCAGGAAACTTTTGGCTTAATGGTATGTGGCAAATTATTTACCCTGAAGGGAGACATTGACTGAGGTCACGGTAGATAGATGAATCCCAGATGTGACACTTTTTCATTATGTTTGACACAGGAAGCTGACACATAATTAAAGTATGATTAGGGATTATTTACTCCTTTGAATTCTGTAGAAATAGTCAAATCATACTGTAATATTTTACTAGTAAAATATTTTAAGACTGTCATTAAATCATATGTGAGTATTTTTACTTTCTTAGAAATGTAGAAAGGCCCCATCTCTAATGCTGCCTGTTAGGGCTTGGAATTTTTCAGGAGGGAGGTAAGCACATTCATTCAGCAAACTCAGGCAGAGACAATTGGCCATTTCTCATTCCTTCCATCGCCACACACCAAAGGCAAGTGCAGGTCATCCTACAAGCCAATGCAGACATTTCCTCGGATTGTGGTCAGCTCATGTTAAAGGCGGCAGAGCTATAAAGTATCTCTCATGGGCCTCTACCCTCTCTTTCTTGTCTTTATATGCATAGCATTCCACCCACCTAGCTTTAAGTTTTAAGCCGCTTTAAGCTCCTTATTTTCTCACTTTCTCCCATTCCTTTTATCCTCTCTCTACCTACAGGCTTATCCCACCCCTAGCAAGTTTCCACCAAGTTCCATCTCCTTTCAAGCAGAATGAGTGATTGCAATCAAGCATACCTTGGTGCTCTGTGCTTCTTAGAATTAAACCCACATTCTTTAGCATGACTTTCAAAGCCCTGTTCCCACCGTTTAACCGAGCCAGACTTACCTCCTACAACTTTCCCAACTTCCTCAGTGCTCCAACCACAATGAATGTCTTTAGGTTCCTCAAATGGGGCCATGTTCTTAATCATCTCCAGGTATTCTCTAGCTAGTCTCCTGTGTGCTGCCTAATTCTTCCTTCCCTGACACATGGAAGATATTCATATGCATTTATTGAATAAAGACAGAAAGTAATTAATTGATTGCTTGAATCAATTAATCTCTTCTAATGTTTTTAATTATTACCTTTCATATAATAATGTCACCTGTCTCAATTGTATTAGTGTTGTAGAAGATATATGTGTGTGTATATTAATAATTAGAAGTATAGAGAAAAATGACGTATTCATTTCATCTGGGATGAAGTAAAGGAAAATTTCGACTTCAGATTCAAAACTTTATTAACTAACAAATTATTGACTATTATTTTCCATAGCTTTTCTTTAAGAGTATGTGCATCTGTATCAGGCCAGAGCATTCCAAACACAATAGGTGAGCATGTTTTTATTTTTACACTCCTATACTGTACTAAGAAAATCGAACTACAATCATTTCTCTGCATAGACCATTTAAAACTCAAGTGCTTTATCAATACCAGGATTCCTATTGCCTTTTTGGGAACTTCTACGTAAATATTACTTCAATAGTTGGTGATAATATTATCTATACAAAGATATAATTATGAGGAAAATGACAATTTGCGTAAAACCATTATAAAAATGTTTTAGAGAGTATTTTATAAAATGTTTTCAGTTCATGTATCATGTTTGATTCTAACAATAAAAAAAAATTTCTTGAATAAGCAACTTGAAATGAGAATTTATCTGACAGAGCACTGTTCACTGAATACTCTCCCTCTCCTCATTATATTTACTTTCTTTCTGTCCTTTAGCTATGGTGGCTGAGGTGCAATTAGATTCCCTGAAACAAAAAGGGGCCATTAAACGAACGCTCTTCCTTGACAACCATCTGTCCCATCGTGTCTTCCCTCTTGTGATAAAGAGGCAGAAACCCCTCCAGTGCCAGGATTTTATTGTTTACCTTCGAGTAAGTGTTCCGGAAATGACTTTTCTGGCCTTTCACATTCATATGCAAATTCCAACCATTTTTCTCCATTTAACCATCATACGTGTCTGCACAGATCCATCAGTTTATTTCCATTTTCGTAGGAGGAAACTTGATTTGAAGGTCAAGTGCTCTCTTCATGACCCCGACTTCAACTAACCTAATGATGTGTTGCTATGAATTTCCAAGGCTTCTTCTTTGCTTTCAACAAAATCTTTGTAAGGGCACTGAACTCAGATGGTTTTCATTTCTAGCCACCTCCTCCCCCCAAAACATAAAAGTTCAACATAATTTATTTGAATTTTTCTCCTATGTGAGTCTGTCTTGTTAGATTTTATCAATGTGCATTTCAGACCCAACTCAGGAAAACATTTAGGCATTCAAAGCTTTTATTAAAAGTAATTTATAATTATTTGTTAATGTAATGTATTTTTCCAATAACTCCAAAACCGACCATGAAATTTAAAAATCGAAAATATTGATAACATAATGATCTATCTTCGCCTTGGCAGTTGTTAGGTCATGATCATCCATTCTCATTTCCTCTCCTTTAAGGAACTTAGCAAGGGGGAACCACAGGTTTACAATCACACTCAAGAATGAAGAATTGTGCACATGACCCTTATATAAGTCTTACAATGGCCTTGATGGGCACGCAATTGAAGGATGACATATCCTCTGTGTCCTTAGTGCTTTCTGCTTGGTGCTCAGCCGTCTCCCCTGGAGGAGTTCTGTTTCTTTTTCCAAGGGAACTTCAAGTATACTGAAGGAATTCTGAAGTTCATGTAAGTAAGGGCTTAAAAAGCTGGTAAGAGATGAAGGAAACCAAGACGTTTTCTTCCTCTGAGCCCAAGAGACTCACACAATGTGGCAACCTCATGAAAACGAAAATCCAAATTCATTATGGGTTTTGTGACATTTATGGTATATAAATGCAATCTTTTACTTTGCGAATTGACTCATACTGTGTGAGCTGCTGAAGGCCTGGAGAACCCAAAGATTACCTCTAGAAGCATCTTTCACTGAAGCCATGACTCTAAATGATTCATCACAGAATGTATATTAATTACACTGGCTACTATATACTGCATAAATCTGCACACATCTAAGCCTGCTGCAAAGATAATTGCTTCATCATTCACTTTCACTGAGTAACATCAAGTGTTGCCTGCCTTTTGTAGACTGACATCTTGCAGCTATTTCATGGAGCCTCTCTGGAGTTTGTGATTATTTTTTCTAGGATGAAACTGAATTCCGAGATAAATTATCTCCAATCAACATTAGTTTGAATTACAGTTTGAATGAATCCACCTTTAAAGAAGGCTTGGAAGTGAAACCAATATTGAACTACTACAGGGAAAATGTTGTTAGTGAACAGGTAGGTCTTTGATGGCACTTTCTCAAGCAAGCTCTGGGGCGGGGGTGGGGGAGGTTGTTCCCGTGGTTTTAAGATGAAAGTCAGATCTTTTTGTTTTTATTCCTGTGCATAGACATGTAACATTTGAGAGTTTTTCCTAACATGTTTCCTGAAACACTGCATCATTGTGTTTTTCAGAAGCCCTTCCTCTTGTGCAACCAAGATTTAATTTGTTCAAAATGTGACTGTAATAGAAGCAACTTAGCCTATAATCCTCAAACCATTCCCAGAGTAGCATTCTTTGCAGACATTTCAGAATGCATTGGAATTGGGCTATTGTGTAAACTGGCCTATATTGGGAGGCCATGTAATATAGGATATATTGCTGGGCAGAGTCATGCACAGTGAAATGAAAGCTTTGGTTTAATTTGTGGAATCGTTCAGATTTTTCAAGAGAAAGGATGTGATTGAGGTTTTCCCAGGTTGTTCCTGATGCATGTTTGCACAACACAGGCTCACATCCTGGTGGATTGCGGGGAAGACAACCTCTGTGTTCCTGACTTGAAGCTGTCGGCTAGACCGTAAGTCTAAATAAATAAACGTGTGCATTATATCTAATGGAATACAGGTGTTTATTTAAAGCTTCTTAAAGGAGACAGTATGCACTTCCAATGAATACAAAAAAAATATACTGCATGAAATTCTTGAGCTTAGCTATGCTTTGGGTTAGGCTGCGGTTTGGGTCAGTTCTTTGTCATTAGTGTCGAGTGACACACCCTAGGATTCTGCCTGGGCCATCTCATCTTTCAGCAAAAGTGAAAAAAAAATGTTTTTGTTAAAAGTAAACTCATCTATGGGGTAGCTCAGGTTATATTTACTTACTTCAGTCAAGTAGGCAAAGGCTGGTTCCATCTACACCTTAACCAAACTGGTTTTTGCAGCACTCTTTGATTCAAAGTCATCCTTAAAACTGTCAAAATAAAATTAATTTTAATTTACTGAAAAAAAATAACTTACATGGAACTCTATGGAGTAAAGCAGAAGGTGTCACAAAATCAAATAAGAATCAAAGAGCTTTACAGTTGCCAGTAATGGGAAGCCTTACTCCAACACTGGAATTTGTACTATGTTAACGTTAATAGAAAGACACAGAACTAAGAGGTAAAACATACTATGGCAGAAAAAGCAGATATGTGCTCCTTTCTCTCCCAAGAACTATCTCACTGGAGTGTTTGGAATCTGCTTGGTAACCCCTCGAGGGGACTTTTCCAAAATTTCATAATTTATCAAATGTCAAAGGCAATGGCTCTGAGTAAGGTTCCAAAGTGGATGTGGCATTTCCAAATTGCTGATTGGCTTTGTAGTTCCAAGTGAATTAAGTTTCCTCAGAAGACCTCAAGATCCTCTATCAGCTGTTTAAGATCTAATTTTATCTGTCTGTTTCTTTCCTCTTATTACCCACTTTGCATTAATCTCCCCCTCTTGCTTTCTAAACCATCTCTCTTCCTTTTTTGCCATCGTTCATTTTCTTCTCAGGGGATGTTTCCAGGGAGGTGCGGAAGGTGCCTCATTCCAGCTTGCAAGCCAAATGTTAAACGTGCAGGAATCTTGCTAGCAACTGTTACACATGTTGGTAGCCTGAAATTGGTCACAATGGGGGGATTTACACCACCGGAATCTGAAAATGCTATAAATCAATACTTTTTTTTTTTTGAGAACTGGTTGTTAAACATTTACCAGCACACCACTGGGTGTTTTCCTGCCCTTCTTATCCAGAAATGATTCTTTCGATTCTTCCCATTATCTCCTCATGATAATCCAGTTTCTTTTTTGTCCTGTCTTGTTATTTGCCATTTCCTTTCTTTTCCTCCTAGATACAACCTTAATAAAAAATATCCATGAAGCCACAGAAGTACAGTTACCTAATAATTTTTTTTTTTTTTGGAGACATAGTCTTACTCTGTTGCCCTGGCTAGAGTGAGTGCCCTGGCATCATCCTAGCTCACAGCAACCTCCAACTCCTGGGCTCAAGCGATCCTCCTGCCTCAGCCTCCCCAGTAGCTGGGACTACAGGCATGCGCCACCATGCCCGGCAAATTTTTTCTATGTATTTTTAGTTGTCCAGCTAATTTCTTTCTGTTTTTTTAGTAGAGACGGGGTCTCGCTCTTGCTCAGGTTGACCTAATAATTCTTTTTAAACTGCATTTTCAGAGATAAGCATGAGGTCATCATCGGAGATGAAAATCACCTTATGCTCGTAATAAATGCAAGAAATGAAGGCGAAGGAGCCTACGAAGCAGAACTTTTTGTGATGATTCCAGAAGAGGCAGACTACGTTGGGATCGAACGCAACAACAAGGTAACGCCGCCCAGTTATCTGAGGTAAAGAGCTAGGTATAATGTTGAAGTGAAATAAATGTGAAGCAGGGCCATTTTAACTGAAAGTTGCTTCCTACATAAAAGAGAGCAAAACGGTACCTGTTAGAATGCTGACGGGAAGGCACGAGGCCCGGCAGAGGTGGAAAGAAGTTTACTTCAACGTGCGCCTACACACTGACCGAGGCAAAGATGGCGTCAGCCCTGAAGTGGCGGGCGGCTGGGGGCTTTTATAGGCAGATTTGGGCGGGCTCTCAAAGGGGTGGAGTTTGGGCGGGCCTTCCAAGGGGGTGGGGCCAATTTAAAGGGATAGGTCCCATGGAACCGCCCACCAGCCTCTGGGTTCAGCCTAACAGTACCTCACTTTGTGACATCGTCATAGCAATGACCCAGGAAGGGGGATGGGCTTGCACAGTGTTAATGTCTTCCTTGGCCACAGCGTAAAGATAAATTGGCCGAAGACTGAGAGCTGAAGCAAGGAAGAGAACAAAACTGGCTAAAAGAAGCTGCTTACCAGTGGGATGCATCAGCTAAATTCCCTTGTCCTCGCTGGCTTTTCTAACCTTGTGTCGAGCTCCTTTCAGTTTCTAGCGGCGGTCGGAGGCCTGGTTTTCATTATTGGTTGGGGACGAAGATCCAACCAGTCCCCGCTGGGCGCTGATAAAACGGCCCGGAGAGGAAACAAGTCCATTTTTCTTTATTCTTGGTCCGCATGGTGACCAGGAAGAGCCTGGCCTTCCTCATTTGCCAGTGCTCAATGCCACTATTTATTAAAATGACAACAGGGCTATTTATAATCTTTCCTTTTATTATCAGACCATGAATCTTCTCACTCAAAGTATACCTGGGTTCTGGAATGTTCTTCATCACTTGGTCTAGAAAACCATTATAAATACATTATGGAATAATGGAGTCCTTCAGTTTCAGAAATATATAGAATCACAATTAAGGGTAAAGACCAAATTTTACATTTCTTTCACAGGACTGAGAGCAACATAGATGCTCCTTAAATATTTGCTGATAGATTTGTTCATTTAACTAAAATGTATTAAATGACTCCTAGTTTCTAATAGTGCATCCTTGAGGACCTTGATGGAATATTATAATATTAAACATTCTAATGATTGATTATCGTAACCAAATGTGATTCCTCCAAAGAGATGTTAATACACTGTGGTGATGTTGGTGTTTTTAAGGCATCTAAAAACTTAGGGAATATAAAATTCTCTAGTCACACTTCTAGTCTCATGGTTGTTTGTTTTAGTTGAATTATTTTCTCAATAAAAAGAGAAATCTAGTTAAGTAACAATCAAATATCTTGACAGTCATTTAAAATTATTATAAGTTTCTGTTGAAGAAATTTATGGAAAAAAATATCTCCAAACTCATCCAGTTGTATACATTAAATAGGTCTAGAGCTTCATGTATGTCAGACATATATCTCAACAAAATAGTTTTAAAAAATAATCCCAAAATGTTCTAACTCTTCCACGTTATCAGTGATCTTGAATAAAGAGGAAAAATCATTCCACTTCTTTTCCAAACTGTTTGCAACTCTCCAGCCTGCTTTTTTCTTCTATTTCAAACATGAAAATCAATTTAAACCCTAATTTCTCCAGTGAATGGTTTATAATCATCCCACTTTCTTCTTTCTTTAATTACATGATTTTATTTTCATTTCTCTATAAAGTTACTTCAAGATTAAAAACGTGAGAATCAATGGAGCACTTACACATACAACTTACAAAGTTGATGATTAATAATTATTTTGAATTTAGAATGTCATCTCATAATAAAATCTCTACCAGCAAAAAAAGAAAAGAAAAGAAAAAACAAAAATATCACGTACGAGTATTTCCATGCAAATTATACATAAACAAATGCAAAAATAAAGCTGAAGTATGTAATTTTTAAAAAATGTTTCAGGGTTCCACTTGCATTTTTATTTCAATTCCCTTCTTGTCATTCCAACCCTGACTTTGTTAAACAAAGCTTCTATTCTAAAATGTTCTTCTTTCAGCAAAGCATCCAGTTTACCGTTCACTTTGTTTCATGGAAAACATGGGAGAGTGTTTATCGTTCTATCTTTGGCCGGAAACATTACAACAGACATTACCCATAATCTCAAACGAGCCCTTAACTATTTTTTTCCTTCATCAATTTCCCTTGGGCAGAGACTTAGTCTTTGAATTTTACATGGCTAAGCCACATTCCAAGTTCTTCTTTGTTTTCAAGCAGTTTGAGGTTTGTGTACCTTTTTATTTAAACTCAGTTCAAGTTGTTTTTTTACGAACAATTTTTTCTCAAGGGGAAAAGACTTAGGAATTATCTGATTGTAAGTTTTGCTGTTCCTTGGTTGAGATTCATCTTTCAGAAAATGTCGATGTTAATCATCTCTTTAGAAACCATAATCGAGCCAGCCTTTATATTTCCCTTCAGTGACCTTTCTCTTAAATTTTTCTAGGAATAAAAGTCTATATGCTTTACCTTTATTATTAACATCATCGTCATTATTATTTCGGTAAAATATATGTAACATAAAATGTATCATTTTAACCATTTTTAAGGATACCGTTTGGTGGCATTGCATTCGCATTGTTGTGCAACCATTTTCCATCCCCAGAACTTTTTTATCATCCCAAACGGAAACTCTGTACCCCTTAAAAATAATTCCCCATTGCCCCCTGTCCCCAAGCCCTGGGAAGCACTGTTCTTTCTGTCTTTATGAATTTGGCTATTCTGGGGACCTCATACTCATCCTCCCTTCAATCTCGCACAGCCACCTGTCTTCCGCCATGTCCATAACTGGGCTCTTGGTCTTCCCACAGTCACGCCCCTCTTCTCTGCATCTCTTATCTCCGAGAATGGCACCAGCATCCCCCTGGTTTCTAAAGCCTAAAGTGAGTCCTAAATCTTTCTAGTTCGCCTTCTCTCCATCCACGTGCCACCGTCACCGCCTTCACCCAGGCTGGCGTGATCCTTTGCCCAGATTGTTCAAGTCTCCTGCTTTACCGCGCCATGTCTCTGCCTTCAGCCCCTTCCCCCGCAGGGACAACCATCTTTGCAAAATGCAAATCTGAGTATGTCACTCTCTTGCTTAAACCCTCACCAGCTCCCCATGGCTTTTAGGATAAGATCCAAATCCTCCAGGTGCCTGGGAGGCCCTTAATGACATCACCCCTGCTCACCGCTTCAGCCTCATGGCTACTTGTTGATTCTTGCCTTTACCCCTACACCCTAAATTCCAGCTGGACTGAATTTCTTTTCAGTGCCTGGAATGCCCCTCTGCTCTCACCACAGGTAGCTTGTTCCGGCTGTTCCTTCCTCCAAACATACCAACTCTACTCCCTCATCCTGTTTATCTACCTTACTTCTATCTACTTCTTTCTACTCATCTTTCAAATAATGAGACTTAATAATAGTAGAGGCTTAATAGTAGTCAAAACTGTTCACGTTTATTGAACAATTGCTATGGACTGGATACTGTTCTAAGTTCTTACGTGTCTTTATTTAATCCTTATAATAGCCTTTTGGAGAAACTGCTCTCATTATCCCTATTTTATGGATAAGAAGAAATTAAGTAACATGCCCAAGGTTGTACCATTATTATGTAGCAGAAACAAGATTCAAATGTCAGCTGTTAGGTCCAGTCCCCTGTTCTTAACCACTGGTCTGCACTGCTACCAGCTTAGATGCCACTTCCTCCAAGATGCCTTCTCTGATTTCTTGAATCTGTGCAAATGTTTTCCTTTTCCTTTGTCATTATTTATTTCTCCTATCATAAAACGTACCAAACTCTACTGTAATTGCATGTTTCCATTGCTTGTTACAATTACTTATAATTGCTTATTACGATTATTATAATAATTAAAAATTCAGTGAGAAGAAGTGGTCTTATTTATCAGGGCCTGTAAATAGCAGGCCCACAGTTAATATTTTTAGTGAATGAATAATACTCTGAGCTAAAAATGGATTAGAACAAGAATGTCCCTGGGACTGCAGAAGAAAATAATCTAGAAATATCTAGAAAAACAGTCATTGTTTCACAAGAGAGAGGAAATAAAGGTTAAAAAAAGAAAAAGGCAGAGGGGGTGTGAGCAGGAGAAAAGAGCTTTGACTGATGTCAAAGAACTATTTCTATGAATAGAAAGATGGAAAAATGTACATTTAACTTTCAGCCTTTAGGTAAGATAAAAATATTTACCATAGAAACTAAATCCTTGAATTATATTTGAAGGACACATGGGCACATTTGATAGTTTTTGCTGGGTGGTTCTCTTCTGTTTTTGTGATTGAGTAAGTAACCCCAACACAAAACATCTCTGCATTGTTAACGGGTTAGTTATGGGTCCTTAAGAAGTTGAATATATGTTTTAAAACTCCCTTTGCAAAAAAAGAATATGTTACTAGCTTTTTGAAAATATGTGTCTTAGCTCCTTCAGCATAACTAATGTGACATTTCAGGGTATTTGGAAAGAGTATTATTAAGCGGGACCGCCAGACATCAGTGATTCACTCCTTTCCCATTAATTACAACAGAACTTTCAGTGTGCGTGTCTGCCTGGGTGATTCTGGGAGGAGGATTTTAAAGTTAGTTATGTGCTTGTCTGTTTCATTTTAGGCTCTTCTTTAGGGAGGAGTGTGAGTTGGTTCTGGTCTGTGCCCCCTGATACCATCAATTGCTCGATGTCCAACAGTGCTCTAGACACTGGGACTAGAGAAGATGCAAAAACCTCTGCCTTCCTGAAGCTTATATCCTCAAAGCGTGTGACTTACCTACAGAATTCTTTAGCCAGATGTCTGGGGTTTATTTGGTCTTCATCTGTTTTGGTTTTAGGTTTGGGCTTTTGTTAATAAAGTAAAAAGAAAGGAATGGAGGATCATTTCTGAAACTTTTACTTGAAAAATTCACATTACTTTCTATCTGAAATTTCAAAAGAGCTGACGGATGGGTATATGGTCATCATATCGGGAACTCTCTTCCATGAACCTATCAGAGGAACAGAAATTGCCAAAAGGTTGCTCCTTTGTGAAAGTCCTCATATTGCAAGCTTGTCTTTGGGAATGAGAGTGGCAGGTCATATACTGATGGCATGTTACAGGACATAGTGAAATAAGGAATGAGCATAAATAGCTACTACCCAAAGCAGAGCAGGGCCAGGCTTTGAAATATGGAAAAAGAAACAGGTGGAGAGTGAGGGGTGGATTTACAGGCAGCTAGGAATGCATGAGGACACAGGGTGGATCTGGGAGCAGAGAACAGCAGTTCGAGGACACACCTTGACTTCCCGCCGTCTTCTGCACACCCTTGAGACCTTATCCAGCATATGTTCCAAGGACTTCTTTAAACTTGAGCTTTTACAAACTTCAATCAGAATAGAATATGGGGTGAAGGGGAGAAGATCGGAAGTATTAGTTAAACATAAGGGTGTTCTCTTTATATATTTGAAGGATTGAACAAAATTGATTGTGTTATCTCAAAATGGGACCATGGCACGTAGAAATTTATATTCCAGGCAATTCTCTTGCAAATAGTCATTGAGTGTTATAATAATCTGTGCATATTACTGTCATTTTGTTTTTGCAAGACTAACCTAAGGAAAACATTTGTCTACTCATGTGTAATTATTTGTGAACTTCATGCCCTGAGTTTCATGTTAACACTGGTGAAAATAGTGAATATAAATACAGTATTAAGCATTGTCTTCCTCCATGAAACACAATAAATGTATTTACCACCCCAATACAGTTCTTCCTAAAATTTAACTTCTACCCTTTTCTCTCAAGTTTCTCTTCTGAGCTAATGGTACAAATTAATCTTTGTACACGGTTGTCCACACAGGTGTTTGACATCAAAACGTCCCTTCCCAGGCCCCCAGCATTGCTTTTGCGACAGGATGTAATTGATTCTGGCCCCCTGAACCCCATGGTGCTGTTCTTTCCCCTTGTAGGAATTGCGACCACTGAGCTGTGAGTACGAGATGGAAAATGTAACCAGGATGGTGGTGTGTGACCTGGGGAACCCTATGGTGGCTGGAACAAATGTAAGAGAAAACCGGAAGTACTTGCTGATTTCCTTCTACCTGAATTTTGCAGAGAACTAATGGAAAGCTTCCAATTAGCACTCAGCAACTCAGCACATGGCAGCGAAAACAAATTAGGCAGGAAATTACCAGGGTGGTGGGATTTTGCATTCTAACCTACACAGAGCAAATAATCTCAGGTTAAAAACACAAAAAGGTACATACCTTTATATGCTTTCTCTTTAGACATCACTCTTATGTGTCTTTTAGTTGCAACAAATCTAGGAAGACTTTATTTTACTATAGAATTTTTTCTTGAAATATTTTTTCTTTGAATTTAGCTACAGATTCTTTCTTTGATTTAAAAATAAATATGGTGGAAAGTAAATGACTTTAAAAAATAACCTAATTAAAGCAAAGAGTTTAACAAAGACAATTAAATTAACTTTTATTTCCAATATACCTCCTATATGAATATCATTCACAGTATTTCCATATTAAAAAATATTACTATAACCCACTTTTTAAATTAGCTTTACCGGGTTTGTATTTTCCATTATCTTACTTGAAGAATAATACATAAAAATTGTTGGTAGTTTTGTAGCAAGGGAAAAAAAGATGTTAATAATGATCTCCAACATGCTTGTGAAAAAATGTGAGTTGTTTCTCTTCCTCCTCCTCCCTCTTTTTGTTTCCAGGTTTTAAAACTTTCCATTCAGGATTAGTTGTGGACAATAAATTTATTTTATGCAATTGCAGTTTAAGTATACTCAGGGTACCGTCTTACAATAAATATGACAGTAGCAATTATTTTATGAAGTCATAAATCAGAAAAAAATTCTGAAATCTGAAAGTACTAATAATTAAATCTTACATAAATTGAATATACATATTCCTCTACTTAAAATTAGGTGTTTATTTATGGGTGAAATGGCCTGTTTGAAAAAAAAATTCATAAAAAGTTATTATTGTAAGCTTGTATTAAAACAACTTGCCAAAGTATATTCCAAAGAGCATTAGTCCTTTGAGTCAAGGCTTTCAAAAGGAATTCTGTAGTCACCACTGAGAATATATCCTTCCCTGGGAGATTCAGATACACATTTGCTTTTCAAAACTTTTTAAAGCTGATCAGTCTTCTAGTAAATAAATCTTTTTGCCCCATGTTTTACACATTTACTTGAGCATTTGAAGCTTTTCTCAAGTAATACCTGTTCCCAATTTATATTTTAGGATATTAAGCTAGAATAATAATTTTGTTATTTTTACATTATAACATTTACATTGATCTTGGGCATTTAAAAAACATGCTAAACTAGAGTCCAGTAAACTTACTTCTTAGGTCAAAACTAAGTAAATATTTAAATGAAAGGTAAATTCCTCTAACAGATTATGATTGGTTACTGTGGATTGACTGTGTTTTGTGTTATAAACCCATCACTGGGGGCCAGGTGGCCCTTTTTATGTCATTTTATTGAATTTTTAGAACAACCCTATGAATCAAGTATTTCCTCCATTTTATAGATGAGGAAACTGAGGCTAAGAGAACCCAAATGAATTGCCCAAGTCATACAGATGATGAAGGTCACAACCAGGTTGAAACCAGGACTGACCACAAAGCCCACGTTCTATGCAGTCTGCAAAATTGTGAAAAGTATTCAGATGAAAACTAACGAATAACAGATGATACTTTAAAATGAAGCCATGAAAGTTACACTGGGAGGTCTAAACTGAGATATTAGAACTTTTTTTTATTAGAATCCTTTTACCTAAGAGCTAATGAATACTTTTGCCAGTCTCCAAGAAGAATCCTACCACCTAATTTGATATGACGTTTACGTAAGGCCAAAGAGAAAAATGCATTGACATTGTAGCAAAAACAGTGCTAGCATCTGTAGGTGACAGGTCGCTGGTTCCTTTCTCAGTATTAGAAGTGTGACATTTAGACCAGAGATCATCTAAGATCATCAATAACCAAGGATAAACTTGAAACAAAAACTGGCCACCAATGTCATTCAAAGTGGAGGAGAAGTGGCAGTGTGGTCTTAACCACGAATGTGTTTATGTGAAAGGATGCCAATCCATTTTACCGGCAAATAATCTTTAGAAGTCAGAAAAGTAAATTGTTTATATTCATTTATCTCTGAGGTCTATAGTCGAAGAAACCTAATAGCTTTCTTATCTCACCCTTTAATGCCCTTAAACACATCAAATTTTATTGCATTCTGTTTTGTTATAAAACACTTTGATTTATTTATTTCTTCATTTTGTACTTTGAAAAGAAGACTCTCAGTGGAGTGTAGTAAAATTCCAACTGTAAAAGCAGTCCTAAATATTAAAAATGCCTCATAAATCACCATGAATATCTATACCCGTTCCAATATCCTTAAAAAATAGTTTCCAAGTGACTTTTTATTAAACATTCAAGGCAGTATTCAGAAGTTTTCCTTCTGATTTTTAAATAGTAAGATCGTTTTCATATAGTAGCTATAGTAATATAAAATATTTATGTGCCAATAAGATTGATAACAACTTGCAAATTTTCTCAAGCAGGAAAATGAAAGAAAATGATGGGTCTAACAAAGACTCTTTAGAATCCATGGCCCAGAGACCCGGTGTTTGGTACTAGTTAAGAACACGTTCACCCCTCTAGCTAATATGAAATTGTCAGGCCTTCATTGTGTCTTCATCCCATGCCGAATGGCTCTGCAGTGAAGACCAGCATTAGCAGTAGTAAGACTCCCATCACTGGAAGTGTGCAAACAAGAACATACTCTCATCATTCTTTTCACAATTTGTCTTGGACCCTATCTGTATGTCTGGTCCTAAGCTAGAGTCTGACAAGATAAAGATGAAACTAAACAATCCCCATTCAATAAGAAACTCAAAATTAGCAATATCATAGGTTCAGTGATGGAAGAGTAGCAAAGAAGGAAAACCAAGAATAAAGAGGAAAAACAGTCTGCTGGCCCAGCCTGTAGGATCAGAGAATGCATTGCAGGAGATACCTCTTGTCCTGCGCTTTCAAACATGAGTAGGAGTTCTTTAAGTAGAAAAAGCAGGAAAAAGCTAAAAGCCTTCTAAAGAAGAGAGAAGGGCATATACGGAGGCCTGATAGAAAATTGCTCCTTTGGAATTCTAAAAAAAAATTTATCATTGCTGGGGCATAAGGATGCACATGCTTTATAATTAAGACACATCTGGATTTAAACACCAGCTATGCCTTTTGTCAGCTGAGATACCTTGAGCAAGTCACGTTGGAATGAGAAAACACCTATCTGTAGGAATGTTTGGAGCAATACGATGATATGAGAAATGCAAAACCACTAGGGCAGTGCATGGCTCCTAGCACATTCAGTAAGGGCTGGTGAGATGCTGATGATGACTTATGATAAACATGATCATTTATTATTAGTTCATATCATTACTGATTTATATTAACACAAATGTTTGTTACTGGTTTGATTCTCACACTGAAGTGGCTGAGATTACAGATTCTGGAGTCAGCTTGCAGGGATTTAAATTCCAACTCAGTAGTTTATTTGCTCTGTACCTAGAGCAAGGCACTTAATCTCTCTAATCCTCAGATTGCTGCCCGATTGTATAGTGTCAACAATAACAGTACCTACCTCAGAGTGGGAGTCATGGTTACATGAGATAATGCATGGAAGGTATAGTACAGAGCTTGGGAGAGAAAGTACATCATTTAGTATACATGTTAGCTATTATTTTTACTTCTGTATTTATATCATTGTCGGATTTATTTCTCTCCCTATTTTTATCTATTTTCAAATTATAAAAATGATAAGAGCACTTTTAAAAATTTAGAAAATAAAGAAAGGAGAAAAATAATCCATGTAACCATAAATTTAACCTGACAACAACATATTATCCTAGAATATTTTCTTATAGTACATCCTCGCTCCTGTACAGCAATTTTTCCATTTATAGATTTTTAAAAACGTAGTTGAAACACATGGCACATAGAACCTTTATTTGTCATTGGTCATTATGCATTAGAAGCATTTTCCATATTGTTGCATTGACTTCACAGCTACAATTTCAATGGGTACATGAATGTCCATCAAACAGAAATAAATCTCCTCTCGTAGACTGGGGTTGTTTTCAAATTAGCGCATAAGGAAGAGAGCCAGAGAAGAGTTGGTGCAGTGATAAATGGAGAGAGAGAACCAAAATGTAGAGTAACCTGAACAGCCTGGGCCCCGCAGTGCCCTTGTGTGACTTCCTCTGGGCTCTCAGCCACCAGGGGTAGAAGCAGGAAAAAAGGACAATCGCAGGGATCCAGGGTGGGGTTTTGCAGGGATGACTTAGAAAAGATTTTTATGCTGTGTCAAAGGTCCCTCCCATGTAATAACTTTGTGTCTTGTGTGATTTTGTTTTTTTTTTTTATTTTAGTATTCTCTGGGCCTCCGATTTGCAGTTCCACGTCTTGAGAAAACAAATATGAGCATTAACTTCAATCTCCAAATCAGAAGGTTAGACCTTTAAATGCCTACAGTCTCCACAGCACTCGATGATGACATTGCAATCCAGAGTGAAATGATGTCATTTGTCAAGGTCCTTCCCCTTGAAAGCTCTTCTAAAATTAGAACCCAATTTTTCACAGCCCATTTCTTCTTTGTTTTTCTCAGTTATTTCTGGTTGTTTCAATATTTGGGGTTTTGAAAAAGAGATTCCATTATGTAGGCCAAGTTATGAGATAGTAAAATTTCGGCCTGGACAACCTCCCACCAGCTTCACCTCTGCTTTCCCTCATTGCAAGGCACATGCCCTCCCCCAACCCAACCCACCACACCCTCAGCTGAGCGTCAGCCAATATCTGAGAACAAAATCTCTGCATAGATTTTGCATTTACAGTCTTGGAGTCTTCTAAACTTTGAAAAATGAATGTGTCTTTGATGGCTTACTTGTGAGCACCATGGCTGGATGCAGGTGAGATACTATATTTTGAGAGCAGAGCCTTCTCTAGCAACAATAAGATGAACATGCAGGAAGCTGCCTTCCTTTTCCGAAGCTGACCCTGTTCGAGGATTCCCCCCGTGACTTCACCCTCTTGCCATCTATGCTGTGTGCTCCTTTGTGGCTGGAAATAATATTTCACGAAATACCCACAGAGGAGAGTAGTGTGGAATGCAGGCTGGGACTTCCCAGCTGTGGACTTCAACCCATTAGCTGGTAACGAAATCAATTGAATGGTTCTAGACCTGTATCAAAAGAAAAGGATGGGAGGCTAAGGCAGGAGGATACCAGTGTATGGAACTCTTGTTCTAACTGTTAAAATGACTACGAAGTTGATATCTACAATTTGGTCCTCAAATGCTAGTGTATAATATGGCTAATCTTTAAATTTACCTTGATATTTTGCAGGAAGTGTCATTAGAGTGTGATAACTTTTAGAATAATTACTCTTTGCATCAGTTTACTTTTTAATAGCTACTTCTATGAAAGGTTTGGAGTTTTTAAAATGTATATAAACTCTACAGATTAAAAATCTGCAACCTGTGTCACAAACTACTTCCTTCCACCAAACCATGATAGATTTCTAGGGAGGAAGGTTTTCTAACTTACCTTGGGTGTTCTTTTCTGAACTTTGTAAGGGCAACCTTGCAAAAATAATCCACCCTAGCAAACTTCATGGGGCATTTTGTGAATTTAACTTAGATATTTTCTGCTGAATCTTAGACATTTTTTGAAACTTTCATTTGAATTAGTGATGGAGTGCAGATGGAACGAATTATTCTGTAATATCCTTTCATTTTACCAAAAGCTTGTTAAATAACTTCTTTATATCTAAAAATACATATATTTTCCCAAAATGTTCAGGCAGTCCTAAATATTTTCATTTTGGAAATCTTCTGTTTATATTTCTAAATTTCTAGGCAAAAAAAAAAAAAAAAAACATGCCACAGTGAAAGAACAGTGTCACTCCATTCAGTAGCCTGAAGTTTCCATTTCTCTCCATCATCATCTGCGCCATTGATCCTGAAGTGGCATGAGGCTTTGTGTCACTTAGGGAAAGACACATCTCTCATAAAATACACAGCCTTTATTTAGAAAGAAAGTCTAGTAAAAAGGCACAAAGCAAATTCATTGGTATTTCCTCCCTACTGTTGATTGCAGTTCCAAGAAGAGAATGGGTGCAAGTAGCAGTTCGTTCAAGAAGCAAAAGTTACTATGGGATGTTCTAAATGCCTTCCTTAGATCCATCCTGTAAATCATCATTTAAATAATGAATTCCCCATTCATCTAAAAAATGGGTCATGATTATATTTCATTTCTACTCATGACGATGTTAACATTATCCTGAAAAATATAAAAATGCAAAGATGTAGAAAGAACTGGAATATACGTAAAGTATCAAATTTCCAAAACACACATTATAGAGATAAAAGTGTTTGAGAATAAAGTATTGAGTAGAGCTCAAATACTAGGGTATTTGAGAGGTAAGCATTTATCTGCATGCTTTGCTGACAGACTCCAAGCATGTAAATAAGCATTTATTTACATTAAATGCCTGTTTCCACAAATAAAAGCCAAAAGAGAAATGGGCTTTGTACGTTAGTAAACTTAAAATATTTCCTGTTACCAAATATTTGCATTAAATGGTCTCTCCATGCCCTCACTGTATATGACATAAACATTTTCCTCCCTGTGTAGAGCGGGTGTCAGATTGCAATTCCCACGTGCAAACAGACCTTTGCGAACATCCTCGAAGTTGCTTCCTTAGTAACAGTGAACTGAGCACTGTGTTATCTTTACTGACGTTGCAAAGACTACAGAAAGCATAAAGGGAATGTTCAAAAATAGGAAATAGGAAATAGAAAGGAAAAAGAAATTAGCATTGGAGGGATAAAGTGAAAAACGTATTTATCCTTGGTGTATGACATAGGGTTTAGTCGTATAGAGGAAATTCATTGTTCCTTACATAGAACGAACACTGACAGGATAAATAGCTCGGCGTCCACAGCAGTGATGTATTGGTTGTTTGGATGTAGCAGTGCTATCAGTGAGGGAGGTTTCCTTCCAGGAAAGAGGTCAAGGAAGCATGTAAGTTATATAGCAAGCCTGGTTCCTTTCTTACCAGATTTTGTTGACCCCACTGATATGCAGTAGCAAGTGTCATGGAAATCTGTGTGACAGAAAATGATTTTGATTAGCCAGACAGAAGGTCTGGACTCCAAATCTGCCATTGTTCTTTTTGCATTTCAAAATAGCCTCGAGAAGTCTCCTATTAGACTTATGTTCAAAGATCATCTCAATGTTTGACATCTATTTACATATTCAGGGCATTGTGAGTAATGAAAATTGTGTTATTTAAGCTTCTTGGAAACAAAGCACAGTAGAATTATGCAATAACTGAAATGAAACTTTGGTTTTTCATGATTCTAAGTTCCACTGCTGCAAAGCAGTTGTGAAATAGAAATAGAACAAAATTTGGTTAATCTGTAGAACAATTATATTTAAATTTCTGAATTAAAGAGTTACCTGTAATATATTTGGAACCATAAACTCTTCAATAAGTAAAATTACTTAATCACTTCTTAGTGGTTAGAATTCAGAATCCTGCCCTTAAAAATACAAACAAATTACTTTTTAGCTGACCAGTGCTCCCCAGATGTGGTAATAAAATGGTCCAGACATCGAGGTGCAAACTTTGGTGGACAAGTCCTTCTAGGCTCAATCAACAAGCTTAGTGGTGATATCCCATTGCAGGAAATGAGCCTGACATTTTCCTGTTTATATCTTTTATGTATGCTTGCAATTTAAGTTGTCTTATCAGTGTATGCAATGGACCAAGACTTTTCAAAAGCATCATGGTAACAAATCTGTCTCTTCCTCCTTTGAAAACAGAACTTTATAATATCCTTTCCAGCACCCACATTTGGAAAGCTTCAAAAGTTGGTCATAACCTACCAATTATCACCTAAAAGCTGCCTAATGCTTTTGGTGACTTCGATGGAAGCACAGTAGGACAATAATGCAGATGGCAGCCGCCTCCAAAGCTCAGTTACTGGTTGAGCCTCTTGCGAGGCATGTTAATTTTCCTTACAGCAGGAACTGCTTAACACATGCATTTTTTAAAAGTTAAGCTCCATATCTAATTATATTTGCTTGAGAGGAAAAACAACCAACAAACTTAAAAAATAATTTTGCCACTGTTCAAAGAAGTATTATTAGATGCACACCTTCTATCTTGAGACTCTCGATGCATTTCCCATATTCCATGTCCTCTCCTAATTGCCTGTTTATGAACTGCCCAGCTTCCTTAGGTCTTGCTTCTAGCCATTGGCCATGCCTCTAATTCACTGCCCTCTCCTTGCCCTACTCAGCCAGGGAGTATGCAGTGAATGTACACTTATTTTAATATTAACTTAAGAAATAAACCATAAGGAAGATAAAATTGCTGCCAAAACAATGTATGGTATGGTGCATTTCAGAGCCAAATACAAATGCTGTTTTGATTATGGGCTGTTCTGGATTATTCTTGCCAGTTCTCCTCTTTATTAGCATGGAGAATCAGGAGTTGACTGTGCTGTCGCGTCCTATTTGGTGGGCAATGAACATGATGCACAGAGATGTTGAGGAATTTGTCCAAGGCCTGGAAAATGAACTCAGTTTGATGCCTCTTTGGTTTAGTCATTGAAACAAAAAAAAAGTGTTAGGTTCTCTCGATATCTATTGTATTTCAGATAAAATGTCTTCTCATGGAAAGTTGTTACATTGCTGTTGACCATGAAGGATCTTAGCATTTCTCTGTACAAATGGTTATGATTTTGTAGAATGAATATTCTTGTTTTCTGAATGATCAGGTTAGTAATGTGCATTACTCTTGTGATATACAGAATGTTTTTCGTGATCGTGTATTGTGGTAACGCATCGGAGAAAATATATTTAAATCATTTGTCATTGTGTTTTAGTTCCAACAAGGACAATCCAGACAGCAATTTTGTGAGTCTGCAAATCAACATCACTGCTATAGCACAAGTGGAAATAAGAGGGTAAGTATAATAATAAACACGGCATTGTAGTAGTATAATACTAGCTTTCTGTACGTAAAGAGTTATGGTAAAATACTAGTGAAAACTACATGGAATTTTCTTAATGCATTAGAGATCACAGTTCACTTTGGTTACCAATTTTTATACTTTTCTACTCATCATTAGTCGTCCATTGGAAAGTAGAGTAAAGTCTGAATAATAATTAACTCTAAGGATATCAAAACAAGAGATCGCTTTATTCCTCAAATTGACAAGGTAATCAAACTATAAGAACCAGTTGATAAGAAGCCGGATAAAATAGATAGACATGTGATTGCCTAAAGAATATCACTTCTCTAATAATTATTTTAGCATAATAATTTAGCCTCACCACATCTTGAGTTTAATAAATGGCCAACTCTTAGATGAGAGGAACGATTGGATCTATTGGATCTACACTTTATATCTTTCTCCTTCAGTCCTATTCATTGAGGAAGGTGCCAACAAGAAATTGAATGACAGACAGGAGGAAAGGGTTCATGGAAAAAGATTAGAATGACTCCCAGCTGGAAAATCCGTGCCTAGGGGGAAAAGGAAATCAGAAATGGACTGCGTGTTATTCTTACCTTGTGCAAGGATGGACTTCATTGATTTTGTCCTTACAATTCTGTTTTCTTCAGAACAATCAAGAACTTGGCTAAAAAATGTCAGCTGGTATTTTGGACCAAATTGTCACTGGGATTCCAGAATCCTGGATCCCATCCTTTTCCACGAGTCCTGAGTGGTTCACACTCCTCCAGGATGACAATTGGCATTTCCAAACGCAGAGCGTCACCATGGGACCTGCCACTGCTGTGTTGGCGCCGCTGAGCCGCCCCCTAGTGGATTAGAGAATAATGATAACGCCAAACATTTTCTGATGCTTTCTAGATGCTACCCAATAATACGTACTAGTATCCTCCTTGTGCAAGTCAGGGAATTGTGGCACAAAGAGATGAAGGTTACACTAGAAAACTGGAAACAAGAATGTAAACACAGGCAACCTATCTTTAGAACTCATGCTCAGAAATGAGCATGCTATCCAGCCTGGGACTTTTTGAAATCCTGCTTGAGTTTTTCGAAACCTATCTATATAAAATCTTATTTTATGTATGCATCTGCGATTTTTTTTTTCATTCATACAAATTTTTCTGAGATTCTCTAATTTTAGTTCATGTGCTGGTAGTTCTTTCACTTCTATTGCATGAGAGTATTACGTTGTAAAAATATACCATAATTTATTTATCCATTCTACTATTGATGAAAATTTGAGCTTTTGTTTTTTCCTTTTCACAAACCATTTTGTACATATCTTCTAGTACACATGTAGAAGAATGACAACAGGTCATATGTTTAGAAGTGGAAATTTGGGATCAGAGAGTATATACTATTTAACTTTACTAAATAATACCAAACTTTTTTTCAAAATAGTTATACCAAATCACACTCCTATGAGAAGTGGACAAAAGTTTCCACTGCTGTATATTATCAACTAACTCTCAAAATGATCTGGTTTTTAATTTTGAGCCCGCCTGATAGATAAGAAATATTAATAGTATCTTATAGAAGGTTTAATTTGCAGTTCCCCAATTCCTCAATAAGATTGAGCAGCTTTTTTAAATATGTTTGTTGACTCTTTATTCTTCCTATGCAGGGAAATTCTTGTTCATTTTTTGGCACACATTTCTACTAAAACAGTTGGCTTTTTCTTATTAGTATATAGAAATTCTTTTCTATTCCAGAGTTTAGACGCTAATCCTATATCAGTTACACAGGTTGCAAATATCTTTTCACAGTTTATGGGATTTGTGGGGCTTTTGAAAAGTCAGGTTTACTGACATAGAATTACATAAAACAAAATTCGCCCTTTCTAGGTGTCCTGTTTGAAGAGTTATGAGAACATTTGATATAGAACAGTACCATCACCCCACATAGTTCTTTTCGGCTCCTTTGGAGTCAGCCCTTCCCCCACCCCCAGACCTTGGTCTACTTTTTGTCACTATACTTTTGCCTTTTCCAAAATGTCATATAATGTCATAGAAGTCATTGAGAATTAGTTTGGCTTCTTCCACTTAGCGTAATGCACTTGAGAAACATCTGTGTTCTTACGTATATCTTGCAGTCTGCTTCTTTTTATTGCAGAGAAGTATCCCGTTATATGGATGTCCAATGAATTGTTCTTCCATGCATCAGTTGGTGAGCATTTGGGTTGTCTCCAGTTCAGGCTATTACAAATAAAGCTGCTATAAACATTCACATACAGGTCTTTGTTGGAACATTTGTTTTCACAAATGGAGTTACTGAGTTGTAGGGTAAGTGTATGTTTATAAGAAACTACCAAACTGTTTCCCAGAAAGGCTATACCATTTCCATTTTGAATTCCCACCAGCAATGTACCAGAGTACAGTTGTGCCGCATCCTTGCCAGTACATGCCTTATGTTTGTATTTCGTCATTCTATTAAAACTGTAGTGTATCTCACCAAGTTTTTAATTTTCATTTGCTTAATGCTTAGTTACACTGAGCTTAGAAATTACTCCCCAGAAGCTGAGGTCAAAGGCCAGACAGACCTCTTGTTGGGCAAGGTTAAATTATTTGTTGCATGGTTATGCCTTTCATTTCATTTTCTTCTCTTACTGCATAGACTAGGACCACCAGTGCAAGACTGAACAGAACTGGCAAAAGGAGACATCCTTGCCTTCTTCTCCATCTTACGGGAAAACCATTCAGTCTTTTACTCTTAAGTTTTATGTCAGATGCAAGGTGTTTGTAAATGCCCTTTATCAAGTTGAGGATGTTCCCTTTATTTCTAGTTTTCTTGAGAATTTTTAACATGAATGTGTGTTAAATTTTGTCAAATGCTTTTTCTATGCCTATGAAGGTAATTAAATGGTTTTCCCTTTTATTGTCCATTAAAGTGGTAAATTGATTAATTTTTGTTTTTGAATTTTCAACCAAACTTGCATTTTGGAGAAGGAACACATTTAGTCATGATGATTATCCTTTTTATATATTTTGGCATTTAAGTTGCTAAAATTTTGTTAGTGACTTTTACATCTATGTTTATGAGAAAGTATTGATCTATAGTTTTCTTTTCTGACAAAATCTTTTTCTCATTTGGATACCAGTAAAATGCTAGCCCTATAAAATGAGTTAGAAGTATCCCTTTATCTGCTCTATTTTCTAGAAGAGTTTGTATAGAATTGGTATTATTTAGTCTTTAAATATTTGGTAAAATTCACCAGTGAAGCCAGCTGAGTTTGGAGGGGTTTGTTGTTGTTATTTTTGTTTTGTAGGAAGATTTTTAGCAATTCAACTTCATTCCTAGATATAAGACTATTCATAATTCTCTGTTTCTACTTGAATGGGCTTTGGTAGTTGTTCGAGGAGTTCGTCTATTTCATCTAAGTTGTTATATGTATTGCCATAAAGTTGTTCAGAATATTCTATCATTTTTTTTAATTTAGCTAGTATTTATTTATTTATTCAGGATATTATGGGGATACAAACATTTCGGTTACCTGTAATGCATTTGCCTCTGCAAGACTTCTAGTGATACCCCCTCCATCATTCTTCATATTGACAATTTGTATCTTCTCCTTTTTTCTTTCTTTCTCTTTTTTTCTGATCTTGTATCTAGAGTTTAGTGATCTTTTCAAAGAACCCATTTTTGGTTTCATTAAGTTTTCTTTGTTTTCTTTTTTCTTGTTGCTATTTCCTTCCTTCTGCAGACTTTGGGTTTGATTTTCTCTTCTTTTTCACGTCCTCTCTGTAGAAATTCTATCACTGACTGGAGACTTCTTTTCCTACACGAATATTTAGTGCTGTAATTTTCCTCTAAGAATTTTTTTTTTAGCAGCATATCAAAATGTTGATATGTTGGATTTTTATTATAACTCAGCTCAAAATATTTCCTAATTTCCTTTGTGATTTCTTTTTTAAGTCATGAATTAACTCACGGGAAGTGACTTGTTTGATTTACAGACATTTGGAGCTAATCTAGATGTTTTGTTTTTGTTGATTTCTAATTTCATTCTCCTATCTCTCTCAATGAGAAAAACAATATTTTAAAAAATCAGAGAAGCAAGCATGAGCATTACTTTTCACCATCTTATTTTATATCTTTTTAAAATTTACAACTAGCATGTATGGACTTTTGTCTCCTACTTTAAGCTTAGTGTATCTTAGTTTTGGTAACCAAACATAAGTCGAAACTATTTCTTAATTCCAAAATAAATTGAAAACTGGAAAATGTTTTTATTCGTTAAGACATAACTAAATCCAGGGCACCTAAGGGGTTAATGTAACTGTCTTTATGCTGACATATATATTTTATGAGATTAATATTTTCAAATGTATTTCTGCCATCACTTACAGTAAAAAAGAAGGAAATTTCATTTTTGCCAATAATCAAAACAAGTAATTAAAATTGGGTTTCTCATGTGGGTGTAGTTATTTCAGTTGCTGGACTATTGTCCAACAATCGACCACAGTTTATCCTGTAAGACAGTGTTGAGGTTCTTTTTAGCCATTTTTCATAGTAAAACTCTTTCCTCCAAATACACAGCAGAAATATTGGTTCCCATGTTTAATTCCCCAAGGAACAAACAGCTACTATGTTGAAAACCTTCCATGTTCAGTCTTCAGAAAAATCTAATTTTCTTCTTTGCCAGTGGTGATTCCAATGTTTTTTTAATCACACACTATCTTAAATTGTTTTTTAAAACTTTATTGTTCTTTTCTAATTTAAGAAATAAACTAAAATGGATTTTTTTGAGTAGGGAAAAATACTGAGAATTGTTCCATTTGTTTCAAAGCTAGATAACATCAACATTGTCTTTAGGCAGATTTACATGCCATTTATTGGTACAAAGGATCAATTTAAACAGGTCTGTAAAAAGTAAATTTGGCCACAGGAAACAAACAGTACCACATATATTGAGCTCACAAAAAGTAATAAAATTGCAGGCTTTGTAAAATAATCGGGATTGAATGAGTTTGTATTAAGAGAGACTACAATATGAATAACCAAACATAGAATACTGTCCAAAGCAGATATAGCCAACGTTCTTCCATACAATAAATGGTAGACTTTGCTGCTCACGATCAATAGGGTTTGAAAACAAGGTTATGAAAATAGGGTTCACACCATACTACCAAATCCTCATATTTGAACTTCCTGGTAACATTGAAAGCCTAATTCTTTTATTCCAGAATAAACCTTTATTCCAGAAAAATGAAAACTTAATGTTTACATAAAAACCTATACATAAATGTTTATAGCAGCTTTATTTATAATAGTCCAAAACTGCAAACAACCCAAATGTCCTTTGATGGTTGAATGGCTAAACAAACTATGTATACCCGTCTCATAGAATATCACTCAACAAAGACAGGAGTGAAATATTGAGAGACAGAACAACCTGGATGGATCTTCAGAGAATTATGCAGAGTGAAAAAAGCCAATCCCAAAAGATTACATACTGTATGATTCCATTTATGTAACATTCTTGAAATGACAAAATTATAGAAATGGAGAACAGATCAGTGGTTGCCAAGAGATTAGGAAGGAATGGGGCAGAGGGGTAGAGGGAAGCGGGTATAGCTATTTAAAAGGGGATCTTTGTGGTGACAGAAATGTTCTTGATCATATCAAAGCCAATATTCTGGCTGTGATATTACAGACAATATCACATTTTGGTTTTGCAAGATGTTGCCATCAGGGGAACTGCTAAATGGTACCTGGAGTCTTTCTGTGTTATTTCTTACAATTACATGTGAATCTACAATTATCTCAGAATAAAATTTAATTTAAAAAAAACTAATTCCTTGCTTTCCCCAAAATCCCTTCCTAGTGTTCATGGTTACCATTGACAGTACCCCAATCTTCTCATTACCTAAGGCTCTCAGTGGAAGAACGCTCTACCCTCGATCGTAGGCTGGAAGGCTATTCAGTAAGGTTGTCACATGACTGCATTGGCTCTTCATCCAAGGCAAATTAGTTGATTATATTCTTTCTTCCTTCTTTTTAAAACGTTCACTTTGAAAGCAATGAACAGTGTTTCATTGATTTAGTTGGGATCTGGAGAGAGCCATTCTTTGTCACAGTTTCTGCAGATCTAAATCAGTCTTCAGTGGATAAATAACAGTTTTGTGAGCCACAATTTTTGAATGACTTTGCCATGGCCTATGATAGATTATATATTCCTGCATGGATTTCTATTTGATTTTGTTACAAAACTGCACCAGGAAGTTGGGTTCACCAAATATCACTGCAGCTTAGGGCCCCTATGGTGTGTTGTATATTAGAAATACGGTGTATGGTACTTAGGATGTCTGAGCTAGAGCAGACTTCCCACCTCCAACTAACCCACTACTTCTCTGTGCATCAGTTTTCTTTCATGTATATAATGAGGGGTTTTGACTACATTGTCTCCACAGTACCTGTCAAAGTCTAAAGATTTATGATTTTATGATCCTAGAGGTTTTATGACCAGTCCTATAGGATTAATGACCATAAGAACAAAATTTTTCAGAAAATATGTGTTCAGTTTCTGTTCTCCGTGCTAAGAAAAAAAAAAAAGTTTCCCTAGAGCCTCATAATGGACAATGGCTACTGAGCATGGACTCAACTCTCTGTTGCCAAGCTGAGAATGAATGGAGCTTTGGGTGGTAAGGTTGTCAAAACCCTGTGGGAATGGAAACCCAAGCTCTCTGGGCTTCCCTCTGATGCAAACAACCTGCCATACATGTCCTGTGCTCTTCTCCTTACCCCATCCTACCTTATGTTTGATCTAAGTAGGAAAAGGGACCATGGCATAATGACAAACCAATATAAAGGTAGAAATTTTTGAGGTATCAGCCCAGCAAAGTTGTACCCTGCACATTTTATTTAACAGTTGCACATTAAGGACATATGCAAAGAGCTTTACCCTTTAGCAACATTTCTGTGGGTTGTTCGTTTCAAAAAATGTACTTACCCCTAGAAAACTGTTCAGTCAAATTAACTTTGACCCAAAGCATTTGAGATGTTTTCCAATCCTCTGTGATATACAACCCAAAGTGTTTATCATCATTTTCCAGATGAGGGAATAAAGACATACAGAAATTAAATTACTTGCCCTACGGTTAGAATTTAGCCCAGGAAATTTTCCTTTCTGCTATATAGAAAGAGATTACCCAGATGAGGAGAAAAAAGATAACATTTGAAGTTACTAGAGGTTGTGTTAATCATTGGATACCTTTAAAAGGCCGCTTAAGACATCTGATTGCCAAAAGAGATAGTTTCTGTTGAAGTTCCTTTTAGCTAGATAGGTCCAGGAATTCTTTTAAAGATACCTTTTACCAAGAAACTGCTAGAAGGTGATGTGGGGTTTTTTGAGAATTATCCTTTTTAAGATTTCATAAAAATAACAATTTGATTTGTAATCATCTTTTAATAAGGAATAATGCCATGTACTGTATTTCATTCATCCAGGGCTCACTTTCTAAGTGTCAATTGTAGGAAAATGTAATTGTATATCGAGTTAACATCCTACTTACATGATTATACCATTTAACTCTGTTTCTCTCTCACCCTTGAGTTATCCATGAGAAAATTCTAGAACTCAGTCACATTTAGTTTTGGCTCTGGGCCTGGCCTTGTGAAAGATATGACTACATCAATGGGAAAACAAAGAAATCTGGGAAGGAGGAATATACAATGGCCACTTTTCCACTCTGTATTCTTTAACCAGAAACTATATTTCTTCATGATTGGACATTTAGCATAACACAGAATCCTAGAGTTTTATCCACAAAATAAAAAAGGAGTCCCATTTCTTGATATGGCTTAAAGCAGGGATTATATAACCTGTACACACACATACACACACACACACACACACACACACACCCCACACACATTCTTAGACTTACACAGGTTCGATAAATAGATGTATATATTTATATGCATATCCATTCAGTTATTGATCTTAACCCAGGAACGCTCTCCACTCTGCCCCCTGGTGCCCAAGCAATGAGTTGCTATAAAATAGTCTCTGGGCTAGAGCCAGCAATTAAGGGCCTAAAGCAGATATTTCAGGTCCTTCACCATCACTTTAGTCATGTAGCTGGACGTCACTTTCAATATTTTTTCCAAGTAGGGAATATCCACTCCAATAAATTGACAGCTGCTTTTTCCTTCTGCTGTTGGTGCACTGCCCACTAGTGAAACGTTCTGTACCTGGGCCTTCTTCGGTGACTAACACGGGGTTCCATGTTTCAGAGTGTCGCACCCTCCTCAGATCGTCCTGCCCATTCATAGCTGGGAACCGGAAGAGGAGCCCCGCAGGGAGGAGGAGGTCGGACCGTTGGTGGAACATATCTATGAGGTAGTCGTTGTCTACGTTAGAGTTGCCGTGAGGGGTTTATGCTTAAACGCTGTGCTGATAAACTCTGCATAGCGTTTTAAAAGACAGCGATCCAAGGTCTGAGCTTTCTGTGCTGCCTGGATTCCTGCTCGTTCCGCTGTGACATCGCAGGGGGCAGGTGTCCTGTTGAGTAACCCCAGACACGCTCACTTGCTTCTCAGTGTTGAGTCATTACATGATGAGAAACATTTTATCTTGTTACTATTCTTTTTTTTAAACGTTCTTTACTTCCTCTCTTTTTCATATTTGAATAGTCTAAGCATAAAAAGAGCTAGCTTTCTAGACTTTCATTTTTTCCCACATTTTCAGATATCCTTCAAACCCACACATCTCTTAAACTGAAGTTCACCAACTAGAAGGTACTAGAAAGAAAATTTTATGAATTATTTACTGTTATACTGAAAAAAATTGCACATATCTGAGATGGGTGGGTGGTAGATAGATAAGAATAATTTTACTTTTCATTCAAATAACCCAAATTAGAAACGAATAACTTATTCTGAGATTTAAAATAGTCCCTTGATTAGTAAAATCTCTTCCAAAAGCATGAAAAGGATCTGACGCTCTTTTCCCACTTCAAGTGTTGAATTAAAAATAAGGAAAAGATTTGTTGACATATCACCTGAAACCTTTACATTTTTTATGGTTAGAAACCAATATATCGTAAAGCGTTAATTTAGGACTTGATCAGGTGTTTGTTTTGTTTTGGTTTTTTTTTGATAAAGTCAATGCTATCAGTGGACAGTAGTTATTCCTATTCATTTTCAAGGGACCAAGAATGGAATGTTGGTAAAACGATGTTCGAGGCATTTTCCATTCCAAGTTCCTTCTTAATTAACGCTTTCTGTTCCTTTCCTGTGTCACTGATGCCACCGATTGGGTAATTCTGACTTTCATCTCAAGCTACAAGGGACGTAAATAACAACCTCTGAGATTAACAATAAAGTCTTTGCAACACCGATGATCTGTTTGCATATGTGGGGAAGAAGCCTCAACTCCTGGGCAGTGTCACTGTGAAATCCTCCCTCATCTGCCCAACCTGTGGAGCACATTCAGAAGCCTCGTCCAAAGTGGATCAAAGCCTTGCCTTAAGCTCTTTTGATAGCAGAAGGATAATACAGTCTCCAAGGCCATTTGCATTGAGAACCTCACTGGGGGAGGCGGGGGAAGCTGTCAAATAAGTTATTAAAGCTGTGTGTACTGGTTTCCATGTAAGAATGGTGAAACTGTAAAGTTTGAAAACATATTCAGAATCAGTCGTGCTTAGGGCAGCCCTGCATCTAATCTTAGTATAAATGAATCCTAAAAGTTTAGAATATTTACTAGGAATGCTAAAAGCAATCATCCAATGTTTTTTGCTTGCTAATCTCACCTCTCAACTATACTGTATCAATGGATGCCATGCTTCTTGGATAATGTGAATTAAATAGGCCACCTAATAAACAAACACAATTGCACATTGTTTTATACATCATTGTAATTGTCAGAACTGTGAGAAAAAAGAAAAAGACGATCCCTGCTAACTTTGAAGTTAATTTTTAAAGCCATGGTAATTTTAAACGTACTTAGTGTTTTGGGAACACAACAATTTCGTGTTCTCCAAGAACAGGCTTCGTGTGTTAAAAAATGTTCATCTCTTTATGAGATGTGGCCTTTCCTTCCTTGAGATTTGCTGATTGAAAGAGACAGAGCTCAGCTTTGAAACGCACACATGGAGTGAACAGTGGTGAGTAGGCACCGGCTTTGTCACTTGATGGATGGCCGTTTTTCCAGAGGGTGAAAGAGAGTGTGTTGCATATGGTTGCAATTGACAAGTCAGTAGTCAGGAAAGATGAGGCAGATTTCAGTGTAAAGAAAGAATCGCTAAGTTTCGAAAGCATATCATTGACATTGCATTTCCAGCACTATGATTAAATTAATATAAAGTCAAAGTAAGCATCACAATTACCAGACATGGTTAATATGGTCTTTGCTGATGAAATCCATACTTTGCCTTTTGCTGCACCGTTGTATAATATGCCACTTGCTTGCAGCTACACAATATTGGACCAAGTGCCATCAGTGACACCATTCTGGAGGTGGGCTGGCCATTCGCTGCCCGGGACGAATTTCTTCTCTATATTTTTCATATGCAAACTCTGGGACCTCTGCAGTGTCAAACGAATCCTGATATCAACCCACAGGATATAAAGGTAGGAGTCTGGTCTCACCAGTGCCTTTATTTTTCTATGGGATGGAAAAAATAAAAATGGTGACTTGTTTTTTTTTTTAAAAAAAGTGAAGTAATATTAATGTTTCTTCAATGATCATTGGTCAGACTTTTTCTTCTAGTTTTATAGTTAAAATGTCAAACCTAATTTAAAATATCCCTCCAAGAAAACTTTAATTTCTTTTAGTTTCATATTGCTCATGGTGGCTTGTCATTTATTTCATCCATTTCAATAGGCACCTTTTATATATGGTTTGATAGCAGCACAAACCACAACGAAATCATAAATAGCCATGTTATGTTTGGGCGAATTGTTACAAAATGCAATTTTTAAAGTCTTTTTTGGTCTATTGCCAAAAGACAGGAGGATCTTTGCCAAAACAAGCTCTTCCAGCTGTTGCCAATAGCAAGTGGTGAAATGTGATAATTTGCCAAGGACCATCTCAGTGTCCTGAGAACTCCCAGGCTGGAATGTTCAGGACCTAATCATTCTTTATTGAAGCTTATAGAGAAGCCTAAAGCAGAGCTTCTCAAACTGCATCTGAGTCACCCAAGGGTCTGTAAAATGCAGGGTCTGGGATGGGACCTGAGAGTATGCCTCTCTTCTAGCCTCCACCTCCTGTCCATGACGTTGGTCTCCTGGCTGTGCTCTCATTAACAAGGAGTTCAAGTGTCCAAAGAGCTGATCCCATGCCGACTAAGGTCCAAATCTGGCTTGAAGCTCTTTCTGGGAAGGAAATCAATTAATTAGCATAAGCCCTCGAAAATGTCACATTTGTATGAAAACAAAAACAAAACCTTGTTGATCAGAGGTTGTCCTCAGAAGAGAACTTCATTTAAGAAGGAACATTCTCCTAGTAGCTATGAGGACACAGTGTCTCTGTTAGAAATGGCGCAAGGACAGGCTTCATGGAATACTGTGACTCAACCATCCAAGACACAGCAGGTCTGTGACATGGGGTCACAGCCCGTTATGAAAGGCTTTTTTTTCCAACCCAACATGCCTCCTATTCAGACAGGAAGACTGAAAGGGGGTTCAATGGTAAAAGACTTAAGGGGTAACAAGCCTCCTTCTTTATGGGGAAATAATAAATAAGGCCACTTGTATTACACAAAATTATTTAAAATACTTCCTCCCCAAAATTCTTTTCCCATTTCCTCTCTGCTCTTCGCTGAGATGATTTTAATGTCTTCAGGGACAGTAGCTTATTATAAAATAACATCTTCAAATATGCATGCATAATGTTTAAGTAATTAAAACGTCCACATTTCCTGCTCTATATTTAACATGTATTAATACTTCAGTCTTAGAGTCTTGGAGGTCATTAATATTTCAGTCTTAGAGTCTTGGAGGTCATGATTACCCAGAAGGCTTCTAACTCTCTTTGAGCCTAATATTTAGCTTATATCTGACACTATTTATGTATGTTCGTATACATTATGTAACTTGTTTAATGTGTCCCATGTTGGTTGTGAGTTATTTGTTTCTTTGTAGCAATTTAGCAATTATCTGCAGTGACTGGGACACCACTAATGGATGACTTGCCTTCAATGTTGACAGATTCCTGCAAACGCAACAGTAGTGTATACTAAGCACCTGGCATTCCCTGCTACCCAGTTATTTTTTAAAGTATAGACTTTGACTGAAAATCTGTCTGAGCCTAGTGATTTTTAAAAAGCCGTTTAATTTTGCTCGTTTTCTAAAACTCTCAATCTGTGGGAATAGAATATAAGATTTGATTACAATATGAAGTAATAGCTCCCTAAAATAACTAATTATAACAATTTTTGTTGAATTCTTGAAATTCTGAATTTATTAAAAAAGTTGAAATGTTATTATTTTCAGATTTTCACAGTACTTTTACCTTCATTGAATACATGCCCCAGAGTCTAAAAGAGTTTTTAATCAATAAATAAATTTCAAAAATTAATAATCAGTATACTTTATCTCAGTGGCTATAAACAACTGAGAATACTTGAAAGTTATTTTCCCCTTAAGATAGTTAATAATTTCATAGTGAAGTTGCTATTAACTTACTTAGCAACTTATTAATATTTCTTCCTAGAGAACACAAAGATAAACAGTATTCTCTGTCTTAAATATGAGTTGGAAATTTGTGAAAAACAAATTAGTTCTAATCCGATGCTGTCTTCAACAGAATAGTCTGAGAAATTTATAATTTTAATATCAATTTCAGATTTAAATTAGCACCACATCTTATTGCTGTTTTTTTTAAAAAAATTATAGTATAGATAGTTTTATTTTTAGTAAGAAGCAGAGAGAGGATAGGTTTATTAAAATGAACAGGGAGGCAGAAATATATTTGTAAAGGCAGCTTTCTGAAATAGAGGAATCTACACAGTTCCCACACTATGTTAGCCTCTTGGACCGTTCAGTTGATTTCCTTTTGGCAAAATCCCTTTCTTTTGTGTTCAAATACTTTTTTAGTCAACTTCTCTCTTCCTTATGTGTTCTCATTTTTGCCCACTTAGCACTGGAAAAGCTCTCTTTCCTTCATTTCCTCTTCCCAACCCCTACGCATCGCTATGGAAACTTGCTTGTGAAAAAGAAACCACTGAGATTTCCTTAGAAACATTTTCTAGGCCACCCATTCCAAGGAACCAGTGCCACCAACTAACTCTAAAGCCTTTGAAATTTCTCAGCTATCCCCTGAGAATCTCTGCACAATTCCCACATACATTCTCATTCCCCTCTAATGAAATCTATTTCCACCTAAATATCAGCATTTGATAAAATGTACTTAACACATTGATTTTTTTTTTTTTGCTATTTTTTAAATTACTCATATGGCAACAGTCCTGGGTATTATTCTTTTTATTACAAATACACAATTTTGCAACATCAAAGCCGTATTGTGGATTAAGTAGATTTTTTTGTGGACTGGCTTAAGATCTGAACCACCATTTAAAATACCATTTCTAAAGAGAAAAGCATTCTAAATGCCAAACATCTAGCCTAAAACCTTCTGAAATAAACCAGTCTATAAATTGAATAGGTACTCCAAATACAGCATAAGCCTGAGCGTCCAGTAAGACCTCTCAACGAGGTTCAGTTTTCACAATAGGAACTGGCACACTTTGTCTATCCCACCAAGTTACCCAAATGTCCCCCAAAGTTTGAGGAGGGGACACCAGTATATTGTGGTCTTAACATATGTTATAGTTGAGCAACTTATTTGTCTTCCGGTTCTAGGTACAGCCTCACATTCCATAGCATTTTTCCTTGGCATCTCACACTTGGCTGTTTATTACAAAAATCTTGCCAATTTAAAAAAATCCTTTACTCTTTATGAAAATTTTGGCTCCTTAGGAGGGTTTTGTTTTTCAACCTCATCTTATCTAAAGATTGTAGGCTTTGGAGAGTTTGCAGGACTCTCCAAACCCTAGGATAAAGCCCACCAAAATGAGCAAATTGGTAGTTTGAAACAGTTGTCTTACTGTCCTTATCACACATCCTCTCGTGTTCCCATCTGAGGACACCAAGGCCCACCTGAAGTCAACACAGGGACATGGAGGTACCTCGGGCTCATTTATTCCCACGCTCGCTTTTGCCTCTCATTGAAAACAGTGCTGCCTTTTTGGGTTTCTGTTCCTCTCCTGATAGTTTCTACTTCATCAAGCTCATTTCTGTCTTCTATAAACCTCGAGGCATAAGCAGACATCCATGAAGGTTGTTTCTCCAGGCTTCATGGTCTAGGTCAGAGCTGGAGGATTTCAGTGTGGGAATTTCTTCACATTGTACCATCTAAAACATTTGCAGGCATTCAACCATCTGCACCATCCAAACCAATCCATTAAAGCTAATGTGTTGCAGATCCTTCTTGGAATGAAATTTTAGAGTTGAATAAAGTATTTCTCAACTAAGCTAAAGGCAGTAAAATAATTGTGTCAAACTACCAGTTTTCTTATTTTGATGGGCTCTTGCCTAGGGTTTGGCGAGTCCTGCAAACAGCCTACAATCTTTAGATAAGAAGGGGTTGAAAAACTAAACCCTCCTAAGGAGCCAAAATTTTCATAAAGAGTAAAGGATTTTTTTTAATTGGCGAGATTTTTGTAATAAACAGCCAAGTGGGAGATGCCAAGGAAAAATGCTATGAAATGTGAGGCTGTACCTAGGACAGGAGGACAAACAAGATACTGAAATGTAACCTGTGTTAAGAACACAATACACCATTCTGGGCCTGAGTTCAGGAAGGAAGAATCCGGAGCAAAAATGGTCTGAAAGAGTCTATAGAGGAGAAAGTATATAACATGAGAGAAAGCCAGTGCTTTTCATACAAACTGCCATTAGAGCCATGGACAGCAGGAGGTTACCACTGAGATCTAGTCTCCTGAACAAGACCAATCCTATGGGAAGTCCAAATTACAACCAGATAGTACAACAGCACAAACATGGGAAGCAGAAACACAGAAACAGTTCATTCATTGAGGATAATAGCCCTGCGTTTAGAATCAGTGGGCCCACAGACAGTGGCTTGGCTTGGCAAATTTGCATAGTTTTGTCTTATCCTTAAGAGTACTTTTTTCCTTCATAACTGCCTTCTTTTATTGATTTTCATTAATTCAGAATGTGGGCACGCTCTTTACTCCCAGAACAACAGTTCTCAGTCCTCTCTCTTTCTTTCTCATACACACACACACACACACACACATATACCCCTTAAAAATCAAAGCACAAAAGGAAGAAGAGTATTTAGTATATCTTTACCATTAACTACTGATCTCTATTTTGAATCATTTTGAGGGCCTTGAACATTGGAGCCATAATTTATTTCACAGCTAAAGCATTCTTTGATGTCTGTTACTTGCTCCTTTAATGCTTGGGCTTCTACTATAAACTCTCCATCCAGAAAAAAAAGAAACCCAGCTGTTTATTATTTCAAAAGGTCTGATGAGAAGAGCAGTACCCAATTTTAATATGCTTCCTCTGCAATTGTGCTGCACGAGTGGCAACTATAGCTT